AATCACAAAATAGGAATATTATAATATATAATAGAAAATATAGGCTATAATTAAAATATATACACTATATATATATGCGGTAAAACGGTGTGCAAAATATGAAACCATATGAGACAGACAGATTGTAATTCACCCAACTTTGTTTTGTTTTGTTGTTTTTATTATTTACAACACACAGCTCTGACCTCGGTGGCAGAGGGGACGTGCAGCAGGCAGCCCTCCCCTTTAAACATGCACGCACACACCCCTTTAAACACGTCACTCGCCCGGCTGGCTGGCTGGCTAGTATTTGGCGGTGTGGTGTGTGTGTGTATGTGTCTGTGTGCTTGTATGTGTGTGTGCGGTCGGTCTGTGGTTGTGTTTCAGGTCTGGTCGTGTTGATAACGACACACTTCGGACACATTTCATCGCGGAGAGATGGGAATTCAGAAGAAATGGCTCTAAAACAAATTGCCCTAACGCTGCTGGCCCTGCTCGGGTTGGTGGCTGTCGGTAATGGTAAGTTTTCAGCTGAGCACCTCTCCGGCTTTTGTCTCGATGTGTTTTCCTGGACTGGGCATCGCCTGTTGTCGCTCATCGTCATGGCGCTCTGTATCAGGGATTTGGCTAACCGTATCTAGCTAGCGTCGACCTCAAATAAACCTTCACGGTTGGTTGTTGGACCAAAAAAAAAGTCACGTTGTTGTGTTTGTTTGTGGTCGATTTTGATTTTTATCGACTGACTTTAAAAATAAATAAATAAATAAATTAAAAAAAAAAAAAAACCCCGACGTGTTAGTGGTCGTTATGTAGCACGGAGCAAGTAGCGAAACCACAACAACAACAACATGGTGGGGCTGTTTTTGTTTCGAGGCAGCTAACGTCGGCTAGCTTTAAACTGGATAATGAACTGTGTAAAGTTAAACGTGATCGATAATTGTGCCTTCTGTTGACTGAATTAAAACCCGTCCGTATTGTGGCGTACGGGCAAGACCAAGAGGCGAGTGATAGATACATCGACAGTCTGCAATGTTGAGGCTGGAGTTAAATGTCGCTGCTCTGCTAACATATTTACAAAACACACTCGTGTTGGCTTGTGGCTGCTTATCGGTGCCTCGCTCGGGCACAACAACCCTGTAGTGATAGCGTTATTGGTTAAACATGTGCAGTCTCTCTCCCCCTCCTCCTCCTCTCACATGTAGTGCGCGCTGGGCACCGAGCAGAAGAAGCAGTCTCTGAATGAAGGCCTAACCTACTTTGTGCATGAAATGTGTTTTTTGAGAGTAAACACTGGCAGCTCTTCCATTGGTGTCCATTTGTAAGGAGTGAAAAGGCTGCTTAGTGGCCTCCAGCAGAAAGTGAATGCTGGCATAGGGTGACAACAGCCGTGTATTCATCCGTCCCAGACAGAAGTCAGAGTTGAAGTCTGGGTTCATTGTGATGGAAATGTGGCAAGTGGGGTCTTTTGAGGCGCCAGTTATGGGGCTGCTTCAGTCTGAATTGTCCCCTTCTGCTGGAGCAGCTGATACCCTGCTCCACACCACAGCCTCAACTGGGCATATGTTCACTGAAAACCTGTGGGTGTTTGCCTCTGCGGCATGTCTGCTCATCTTTTGACTTTACTCCAAAACACGCTGCGTTAGTATTTAATAGATTTTCACTTGAGACACAGTCATTTCTTGGATTACGCAAACCCCCTTTTTGCTCTTCCCATGAGCTCTGCTTTTTCGAGATGCCTTGTTAGAACTTGCCACTCAACAGATAAACTAAGTAGCCAGAAGTCGAAATTCACCTCTGTGTGCCAGAGTAAACAGCGTGATTGCATTCGTCGGCTATTAGAGAGTATGTTGTGCTTTAACCACTTGAGTCATCCTACTGAGAGACACATGAATATCCCACCCCCGCTAAGTTTAGACAAGGGTTCGGTACACCCGAGGTTGATGGGTTCGTTTGAGGCATGCTAGGAAAGTGATCACACCTGAGTGGTCCATTTGTTTGACTGGGTTACTCCAACAATAACAGTGATGTGTGAGGGGAGAGTGGGGGTGGGTGTGTGGCCGGAGTAGACAGGGGGTGATGACGGGTTTGTCCAGCTGGCGGGGTCTGTCGCGTAGGGGGCCCACAAGTCTGTCTGGAGCCATGGGTTTCCAGCATATAATGGATTACGCCATGAAAGGACGGAAACCAGACGAGCCTGAAATGCGCTATGCCAGAGCCGATTCCAGGCATTGTGGGAAGTGTAGTGTGTTTTCTGTGAGAATACTCGTTACTCACAGGTTTGATGAATCCATCACGTGTTGTTGACTTCATAAGGATTAGGAGTCACTGGTATTATGGGCATTGCATGCCTGTGTGACGCCGTCTGCCTGGTTGCATTGAACACAATAGCAATGTGATATGGGCACTGTCAACCGCACTGCCTTGAGGTAGGGCGCGTCCCTCTCTTTTGCTTTTTCCTCCCGCCCCCTCCATCCTCTATCTCTGTCACATGAAAGACCTGGTGCTTTATCAGAATTTAATCTGTACTTTGTTATCTGTGGTCCTACTTCTGCTTTCACTTACTCACTGCCACCATAGGGTGCTATAAAAGGCTGTAGCTTGGGCGGTGTTTTTCCTAGTAAGGCCTTTTGGTTCCATGAACTCTGCACTCACTTTTAGTAGCTCTTCCACATACTATCAAGACAGGGCGATTAGAGACCGAAAAGTCCCTCCTTCTCAAATAGTTCAGGGCAGAGCCAAACTCTGCTACAGGTGCTGTTTAATTTCAAACTCGACGTGAGCGAGTTCAGGTGGACGGAGCATGAACTAGTCCGTTGGGAACATGTGTACACCTGCCCATTAGATCAGAGCCAAGGGAATGTACGGAGAAAGGTTGAAACTTATTGGGTTCAAAGGTGTGTGTCTGTAAAGAGAAGAGTTTGGACGAGGGAGGGAGGGTGAGGGTGGTAGTATTTCAAGCTGGCTTAAGCTTGAAAAGGAGAAAGTGTTTCTTTTCCTAAACGTGTAGCAGTTGTTGAGACCTGTTCTAGATGGATGGATGTTTTGGCTGCTGGATCCCTGCAGCTAAATTGATTCCAAACAAAGTTGCACGTCCGCTGTATAAACTTTCAGATTACTCCCCGGCTCAGACACCTCCTCTTTAGAAAACTGTGTTTACCAACAGTTTCTATAATGTGGCACGGAGCCAGTCAGGGTCAGGTCAGGTCTGGGGTGGTCTAGTTTCCCCCCCATAATGACCAGTGTCGTTAATGACCTCCGTTGGCCCGGAGGCTCAGAGCCCTAATTGCTGCAGCAGACAGCGTAGCCTCTGCCTGACCCAGCGCCGCCATTACCCACGTTGGACCACAAGGGATTACTACCACCGCAGAGCCAATAATTTCACTTTAGGTTGTCCATTTCTCCGTGCTGTACCCCCGAACACTTTCTTTGTTTAGAGGGTCTTTGTAGTATATGTGTAGGTGGTAAAACGACATCTGCGTTCCGTGCCATACCTTTAACAGTACTTGGAGATGGAGTTGTTATTGTCACAGTACACCCAGACAGACCTGGTAGCTATTTGAGTTCATGTCTATAGGGCTGAACCTGACACCCGCCCTCCATTACAGGTCTCTTTGTAGAGGTGTTTGATTTGTTTTTTTGGCTGTTGTTGGAATGTAGATTAGACCTGCTCCGCCTGGTCGCTTTCCACTCGAAGGTGTGCAGTCTGCTTGTCAAGTTTTCTCCAATACTTCTCTGGCAATGATTTACTTTGATAGGTGTGATGCAGGGTGGGCAGTGGGTAAGACATATTTGGCTCTGGGAATATAGTGAGTGTCTACAATCTATCTAGTTCTCGAGGTACACTTTGTAAACCTCTACCTCTTTCCTTTCCCAGGCCTCCGTAGTGATGTCGGTTCACACCTGAACTTAAGAAATCGTCCTTGCAATAAACTCCATTATGCAAAGTTGCTCCTTTTTTATTGAGCAGAAAATATAATTTTCTTAGTAACATATCATCTAAATATTAATGTGGCCATCCCTGTGTGTTTCCTATATCAACACAGTGTTGATGGTGGGCAGATGAAGTTGTTTTGGTGTCATAACATTATCTGATAACGCATTGTATGCAAAATAACTTCAGATAATATTTTTTTTTTATTTTCCACAATGAACAGTGTGGCATAATTTTTCCATCGTATTCCTGATTTATTGTCAGCTATCTTGTGTAAAGGATCTTTATGATGTTTGATTTCTGTTCATTATTAAGACAATGGAAGCTAAAAGATGTAATGCCATAAAGTGTGTTTCTATTAAAAGATGGTAGCTTGTAATATGGAGTTATCTTACACTTTAGCAAGATATAGATAGATAGTTTGAACACTCTCTATTCTTATGCCAATAAAATGGTGGTTTCACTACTTTTTATACCTCATGTTGAGCCAAAGTTCTCAAGTGTTAAAAGTTGACAATGTCCAATCAACAGCAAACATACAATATAATGAAAAATGAGAGTCGTCCAAAAATAGCATTGTGTTTTAAAGGACCAGAGTGTAGGATTCAGTGGCATCTAGCAGCAAAGTTGCAGGTTGCAGCTGTTTGAATACAGCGCAGTGTGTAGAAGAAACTACGGTGGGTGTGGAAAAAATGCCAAAAGCCCCATCTAGAGCCAGTGTTTGTCTGTTCTGGGCTACTGTAAATATGTGGTAGTTCAACTCTGTGGAAGAGGACCTGTTCCCTTTCTGATGCCAATAGTGCCTCCTAAATGTTACACACTGGACTTTTAAAATCAGGAACAGCGCTGATGTCTGATAACCAGCCATAGTTGTAGAAAGACAGAGAGTAATTGTTAAGTCTCTGGTCTGCTAATACTCAGAAGAGTGTTTAAGCTCAAGTCACGTGGTAGATGCATTGGCTCAAGGTACTGAAACATACTTGGGCATTATAGAGGCAACGTTGGACCAGTGTGGGTATTTGGGCAGCAGCATAATGTCCAAATTGAGCCTGTGCTCACACTTGTGTGCCTTTGAACTCATCCGGGGTAACAGACAGACAGACAGACAGACAGACAGGATGGGATGTAGCCTAGAGGCTGGTGGTTGGTAGAGATAGTAGAAGCAGCCTTAGCCCCAGAGACTTCACTTTAGAATCAGATCAGTAATCTGACCCTGAGATGCAGACAAAGGTAATGACTTTCCTCCTTCCACTAGCATTGATTAGGACACAGTTGTGGTGTGTGCGTGTGTCTGTCTGTGTGTGTGTGTGTTTGCACTCACACTGTCTGGTGGCGTCTGCTTGTCTTGATCAGCTCTCAGTCTGGTATCTGTATGGATCTAATTTCAGCCAGTGCATTTTGGTAATGGTGCTCTGCTCCCCGTACACACACACACACACACTGTCTCTGTCTGCGTCGCTCAGCCCCCAGAAACCCACTGTTTGCGTAACCCCGCTGCCCTGCGCCGAGCACGCTTAAGAGTATTTTCCACAGACTTCATCATCTTGCCATACTAGAAAGTTCACCTCTGTTTTGACAAGGCGGCTCTGCATGAGTAGGTCTGAACAACACATGTATACACTGGCATACACACACACACACACACACACAATACGTCATCAAGGTTAATGTGTAAACACGTTTGAAATGAGACTACGCTGTTTTTAGTTGGGTCCAAGTTAAGGCAACGCTGGTTATGGCAACAATGTTTTATTAATCCCTTCCTCACTGCGTCTGCTATTTCCTGTCTCAACATGAACGGAATGATAGGAACTTCACACACTACACAGCTCAAAACGCTCGCTCTTTGCGCCGTTTTCTCCCCTTTCTTCCACTGTTCCCTTTTCCTGTTATTGACCCCCTCCCGTAAGTCAAAGTCTAGACTGGGTTTTAATGGCGGTCGCAGCTGGTCACTTGGGCAGATCTCACTCGCAGCTGGGGGGCCCTGTAAGTCCCGCTCGTTACCCTCGGTCCCCTCCCCCATGTATTGTCCTGCCCAATTTGGGAGCAGCCCCCATCCTGTCTGGCCCAGAGCGGCCCCCAAACATTGGGGTTGTTACTGTTACCCCTGGCCTGTCCCCTGTGCACCACCCATCCCCCAGCGCTGCTCCACGCAGAAGTGCGCTCCCCCACTCCACTCTGCTCTTTGTTCGCGCAGGGGCTGGTCCAATCCCTCCTCATGTCGCCTTAATCTCCACACAAAGGACCAGTGTAAAGACCACCAATTATGTGGATACAAGAGCAGAGTTCACTCAAAAACCACAAGCACCCGGCCTCTGCTCACATCCATGTGTATTTTAGGCTTGATGTTATTCCTTCAAGTTCAGCTTTGTAACACTTCTGCTCTGAATCCAGGGAAATATGCAGAGCAGTGTGCAAACAAAATGGCATTTGGGCAAATGCTAGTGGGATTGGAGTTTCTTCGCTAGTGCATTGTTCACTTCAGTTATATATTAGTGCCCGCTCTCGCTTGACACTCATTTTGAATTGAACGTTTATTTTTCAGGTCTTGGTTTCACATTGTGCCATCTTTTGTGAAATATTGTTTGGCAGAAAATCAGCGAGCGGGACTGTTTTGTGGCAGTATCTTGATACAGAACTCTTGCTCCAATATAATAAATTACAGTAATTTAGTGGCTGTTTAGTTAACTAGATCAGGTCTTGGTCTCTGTCAGCTTAGATTTTCAGTTTTTATATTGGCCACCCATAATGTTGATGGTTGTTTGTGTGGAAGCAGACTCCATCGAAACGAAGACTTGCCACAAACCAAACTCTCGGTAGACCACAAACCAACCATGGCTGGCTCCAGAGGGCAATGTGTGTGTTTTCAGCCATGTTTGGTTTCCTTCCTGAGCTTCTGTCTGTATGTCTGTGGACCATCTGTCTTACCACACACACAGTCTCCATGATGGATGCCTGTTCATGTCAAATCAGGGTGTTCCTATCAGACGGCTGCTGTTAATTTATTGCCGTATATTGGTGCAGTGTGGATGTGGTGGGAACTAGTTTATAGCCGTCAGTTTGATTCTTATGTGAAAAATCAAACAATAAATCTAGCTTACAACAGTTAACTGTAATGTGTGTGTGTGTTAAGTGCGGTGTGGAAAACTGTTTCCCTCGAAGACGTACGGCTTTTTAAAAAGTCAGTCTTAGTTTGAGGATAGATTGATCCAAATGGCTCCTGTCTGGACTCACTAGCCAAAGATTGATTTATTTCCGTGAGGTGCAACAAACATCATGCCTACAGAAGAGCCTAATGGAAAGACGGATTCAAGTTGTGTGAATTTGATGATGGATATTGAGTGCCGTTCTAACCTACGGCTGTTATGGCTGTCATCTCTTTTATGTAGCCGAGCGATTTGCTCCATTAATGTTGCAGATTAGCGTGATGTGGCACAGGACTTGTTTTTCTGTCTTTATCAGACACAGCCTGCTTCACCTCTGTGTAATCTGCAGGAAATTCCATCTGCATGCGAACTGTAGTGAATTTGGACACAGTTCCTGCCACTTTCCCGCTCAACTCCTGGAGAGGATACACACCCACACGAAACAGATGAGAAATATTATTGAAATTGTTCAACATTTCCAGTTACCATTAAACAAACAGACATACACGCTACATACAAAAAAATGCCCCCACGCAAAATGCTCCCTCCCAGACCTATGACACAGTCATTTGTGGTTTTGGCCATTTGGATGTTACATGCTGTTGGCGCAACCAGTGTATCAGTCATTTTGAAGTCTTTCATTTATTTAAACAAACTGTACTGAACAAAGTCTAATCGTTCGACGACTCTGTTGGTTCAAGAATGTGCTAAAATCTGCTGACACCTTTTGACAAGAGACCCAAGTCGGTACAAACATGGAAGATCAGTGAGCTCATCCGGTCAAAGAAACCCTCAGGATAAGACGCAGAGGATTAGTGGAAGCTCGCCACTCTTAAAATCTTTTCTTTCCTCTGGGCCAGCCGTTGTCAGTGGTCCAACCGATGCTGAGCCTCTTCTTTCTGAAGGAGAATAAGGCTTGAAATTCTTCTCTGCTTTGTGTCTCCTTTATTGTTGCTGGTACAGTGGTCTTGTCTCCACTAAGTCCACAGCGATCAGTCTTGAGTGGTCCAGCCTTTGTTTTCCAACCGAGGATCAGCTCTCGGCCTGTCACGCCTCGCTCACAGCCCTGTCGTCAGTCAGTCAGTTTGTCATTTACCACACTGACAGGGGTTCAGTTGAGCACGAGCACTTCCCGTGGGTTTTTTTTTTCCCCCATGTGAAAACTAGTCCCACATCCATCCAGCCTTGCCTCGTCCTGCTTTGCACGGTTTGGTCGTAGAAAGACCTTGGAAGAAGCCTTTTGTGCTGACCTTACTCTAAATGAGAAGCATGTGTGCTATGACTCAATCGCATATTACCCCAAATCTAATCAGTTTGCAGTATTTTGCTCTCTTGGCCGGCCCACCAACTCTGGTTCTGTTTTAGATGTGGCAGATTTGTGCGGACTTTCTGACTCTGACCTCATTTGAGTGTGTAGACGGACCACCGTAGTCTTATTGTGGCAGCGGCAGGAGTTCCATTGTGTCAGCTTTAATAGGTCCCCGTGCAGGAGTGTGCTGTGTTTAATAAAACTCCTGTCTCATTAGCTCAAACAGTGGCAGCTCTCTGTGTCAGTGTGAGAAAGACAGAGGAGAGGGAAGAAGCAAAATGCTGCATTGGGGATTTGGCAGGAGCCCTCTCCCCTTGTTGGGTTTCACTTTGCCTGTCCCACTGGGCAGGTCTGTCTCCACCCTGCGTGTTTGGGTTCATCTGCAGTGAAGGATCTGATTTCAGGGCCGCCGGGGCCGTCTGGCTGCCGCTGTTCAACTCAAAGCTCTGTGTCTGCACGCCACAAAATGCCTACAACTGAATGGGACACTACACACTTTACATCCTGTGTTGAAACTGTTGGCTTAGCTTGCCCCCTACTGGATAAAATGGAGAAGTGAAATAGATTAACTTTTGACCTCATGGCTCTGTCTGATGAATTGGTTTTAATGAACTCTCTGTCCTTTCTACAGCTCTACGTTGTAACTGCACAAACTGTGAGAAGACAGGCTATGAGTGTGAGACAGATGGCGCCTGCATGGCCTCCACGTATAACTTCCAGGGGAAGAAGCAACATGTACGCATCTGTATCAACCGGGACAACCTGGTGCCCCCAGGACAACCCTTCTACTGTCTGAGTGCCGAAGGCCTGCTCAACACACATTGCTGCTATGAAGATTATTGCAACAGTATTGACCTGAAAGTCCCCGGTAAGGCTCCGTCATTACACAGCAGAGCTCTTTCAGTTCAACAGTGGCACTGTTTCAGTCTGTTTAAAAGTCAAAGTAATCACTTCTGCTTCTCTGTCTCGTTCATTTTATCCCTCTAGTTCCAACAAAGGAGGGAGAGTGGCCAGGTTCAGGAAGCTCCTGGGGGCCAGTGGAGCTTGTGGCGGTCATCGCGGGGCCGGTGTTCCTCCTCTGTGTGCTGCTGATGGTCGGAGTATTCCTGTTCCAGTATCATCAGAGGGCCTACAGCCACAGGCAGAGGCTGGAGGTAGAGGACCCATCCTGTGACCATCTATACTTGGCCAAGGACAAGACTCTACAGGACCTCATCTATGACATGTCCACGTCCGGATCAGGCTCGGGTCAGTTCATGCTGCCGACATAATGTGACGTATTGATGTAATGGAAAAAATATATATGTTTAGTTTAGGAAAACACATTTTCTTTTCATACTAATTTGTCAGCACTCGTCCGCTCGGGGTATTCCCACCACTCCACACTCCACAAAACAAGTCGACATGGAATCCTGGGTAATTTATTCTTTGTCTTACTACTGCCCCCTGCAGGTTTGCCCCTGTTTGTGCAGCGGACGGTGGCTAGGACCATTGTGCTGCAGGAGATCATAGGAAAGGGTCGCTTTGGCGAGGTGTGGAGAGGGAAGTGGAGGGGAGGAGATGTAGCGGTGAAGATCTTCTCATCCAGAGAGGAGCGCTCCTGGTTCAGAGAGGCTGAGATCTACCAGACGATCATGCTGCGGCACGAAAACATCCTGGGATTCATTGCAGCAGACAATAAAGGTGAGGAAGTTTGTGGGCCGGGTGGAGACTTGTACCAGTCACATGATCATTACAGACATTTATCCATAACATGATTGAAGCAACCTTGTTCAGGGGAATTCCTCAACCATTTACTTTTGAAGACAGTCAAAGTAAGAATAAGTCCTTTCAAAGCTAAATGTAAAAGAAGTGCAGATACGGAAGGGTTCCATATTTCAGTTGTAGATGTTTAGAAATTGTCTTTTACACCGGTCAGTTTTAGCTAAAGCAAGTTGTCCATTCATTGTGAAATATAATACCATGGAAATACTCTCTGACATGTATTGTTTTTTTCCCTCTTTCAGACAATGGCACATGGACTCAGCTGTGGCTGGTGTCAGACTATCACGAGCACGGCTCTCTTTTTGACTACCTGAACCGCTACTCTGTCACCATCGGAGGTATTTGATCAAACTGGCGCTTTCAGCTTGCAGCGGGCCTTTGGAACATCTCCACATGGAGATCCTCGGCACTCAGGGTGAGATGACCTGTCATGTTTAAACGCAGCACACAGTGAAACAAACAAATGAACACAGCAGCAGCGTGAAAGCGCACACAGTAGTTATTTACCTTCAGCATGCGCTATGTCTGCTGAGCTCTTGATGCAAATATAATGATGTGTTATCCGTTCTCCTGCAGGTAAGCCTGGCATTGCTCATCGTGACCTCAAGTCTAAAAATATCCTGGTTAAGAAGAACGGCATGTGTGCTATAGCTGACCTCGGCCTGGCAGTCCGCCACGAGTCCATCACAGACACAATCGATATAGCACCGAACCAGCGCGTGGGCACTAAGAGGTAAATGTTTCCATACTCATTCACTCATAAGCACACAAATGGAGACATACAGCAGGGATCTTGAGTGTCTTTGAAGGGTATGTCTGGCAGCCTTCTACATTGTGTGTGTTGTTGTGTTCGTGTGCTTGGTGGCGGTGTGTTGTGTGGTGTGTGTGTGGTGTGGTGGTGCGTGGTGTGGGTGTGTGTGTGGTGTGTTGTGTGTGGGGTGTGTGTGTGTGTGTGTGTGTGGCTCAGGCCCTGCTTGTTCCTCTGTGCCATAGAACTCCATGGTGTCTAAAAACCCATTAATGAGCGGCACCATTGAACTTTATGACACCTTTTTTTCATTACAAAGAACCGTGTCAGCGTCCCCATTCAACACTTTCCTGTTGCTGTAAATTCATACCATTTAAAAATTATTCTTTTTCATTTATTTATTTCTGTCCTCAGTAGGACCCGATGAGTCCTAAAGTATTGAGTGACACATTTTAATTTTTTTTTTTTTAATCCATGGATGTTTATGAAAGTAAAGTTATCTGTATTTTAAATATTGTTACCAAATTGAGCTATTTGCCTAAGTTCTTTGGACCTTTCAGAGGACCTTTGAGTTATTTTTTCCCAAAACAATTATAATTCATTTAACTCTGAATTGTATTTAGTAAAATATGAAAAGTCTATGGTTTTGACCCCCTTTACGATAGGAAATTCTCATTTGATACTATTATCATTGCCCACCCTAGGTATATGGCTCCAGAAGTCCTGGACGAAACCATCAACATGAAACACTTTGATTCCTTCAAGTGTGCCGACATATACGCGCTGGGCCTGGTGTACTGGGAGATTGCACGTCGCTGCAATGCAGGAGGTAAGACCCCCAACCACGAACAGCAGCTCATGTGAGTGAACAGGAAAACCCAGACTGAGACTGTTCCCCCTTGTGTACTGCAGGTATCCACGAGGAGTACCAGCTGCCCTACTACGACCTCGTGCCCTCTGACCCCTCCATAGAGGAGATGAGGAAGGTGGTGTGTGACCAGAAACTGAGGCCCAATGTGCCCAACTGGTGGCAGAGCTACGAGGTATTTCTCACTCTGTAGACACGCCAACAGCTGCACTGGCGGGTTTCTAAAAGTACATTCAGTGTCTGTATAGGAAGGCAGTTGGGAGTACATGAATATGGAATGCTGATTTCTAAACTATTGTTGTGGGGGGAGTATTACATTAATATTATAGCCTAATTTCATTGTTATAATGTTAAAGTGTTAAGTTACCCAATGTCTGTCCTGTAAAAGGTCCAACGGTTTATCTTCTTTTATGGTAGCGCACGGTTCAGATTAAAAAACATATGACTCATGTTTCCTCTTCCGTGCAGTCACTGCGTGTGATGGGGAAGATCATGAGGGAGTGCTGGTACGCCAACGGAGCGGCCAGACTGACGGCCCTGCGCATCAAGAAGACCCTGTCTCAGCTCAGCGTGGAGGAGGACATCAAGATGTGAGCGGCCAGGCGGCGTATAGAGACGCGCTGGAGACGCACAACCAGACCACACTCCCATAGGAAGCAAACACTAAAGACAGACTGCAAATGAAAACCCTGCCAGTTTTAAAGCCACACTCCAAGTTGTGACGAGGCCTACCTCACCTTTTTAGCCAAAACTACTGAGTCACCCTTCCCCTCCTGACTTTTCTCTCCCCCTCCCCCGCCTCCCTCTGTTCCTCGTGTCTCCTCCCCGTTCCCTTCGACCCCCTCCTCCATGGGCCACAACACTACAGCACTACCACTGTTAATATCATCACACTCAAGTTTTTGTTTTTTCATTTCCCATGGCAGGAATTATTTGTACAGTGACAGGATTTTTTTCTGTTTTGATCTTTTTTTACCTCTCTGAGAGTCTGTCCCATGATGGACTAACCTTGTCCAGAAGAGTCAAGAACCTTGTGGGTTTTAAGTTTAAGAATAATAACACTTCATATTGTGTTGGCCATGCAACATCACATTCTGTTGCTGTGAGTGAATATGTGTGTGTGTGTGTGTGTGTGTGTGTGTGTGTGTGTGTGGAAGATGTCTGGACTACTAGCATGTTTCTAAGACACTAAACTGTCCTCTGGTATAGGCTGTAGTTCATTAGACAAAACCAGTAATGGGTTATTTGGTAAATAAAGCATGGACAGCCGGATTTAGCTTTTTTTAATCCCTCACTTGAATATCCTACGAACAGAAATTAGTTGCACTCAACTGTAGCTTCCTCATCATGCGTGAGACGTGCGGGGATCACGTAACGGATGTGGTCCAGTCCCGGTGTTAGTTTGAAACGTGGCAGGGATAATGTTTGGGATGGTTTTTACTTTTTATTTATTTGTTGATAGTTTTTATTTCATATTGATGAACACTGTGAGATGAGACGTGACAAGCCAGAGTCTTGAGGTGAAAATTAGCGTTCAGTCCGAGTCTTCACCACCTTTTCAGGCGTTATAAGGGGTTGTCGCATTCATTTAATAAGATACTCGGTGCATATATGGATGCACCTATAGCCCCCTTTGGTGACAGGCAATGCCATCGTGCACACTGAGCAAATAAGAGGCGTATGAAATGGCAATGAAAAACAGTTTGTTTTTTTAAAATATATTTTTGTGTTTTGTGTAAAGACATCATGATGGGTGTTTTCTTTTGACTCTGACATTAGACACTACTGATGATGGGTACATATGATTTGTATATAAAACGTGCATTTTTTTTTTTTCTTTTATGCCACAAGCACCAGTGTGACATTTTGAACAGTGATTTTTGCTTGAATGGTACTTTCAGAAGTCTGTTGTTTGATCTGTCTGCATGGTTTCGAACTGTGCCAGGAAATAGATGGTGTCATCTGCTGGAATTTGTTTTTAACTTGCTCCTCTTATGGCAATTTGGTGGTACTACTGATCCCAGATCATTTTGCTGCAACTTCATTGTTTTTTTTGTTGTTTTTTTTTATGTATAATTGTTGGACTTGTTGAGTTCTTTTCAGGGCTCGGTAATGCAGATCTGTTTCTCCACACGTCCTCCAGGGTGGCATCTCTTTCTCATTAACACTGGAATATTTAGGAGCATCATGTAACCTTGAATTCTGATACTGCCAATGGCTGTTTATTCAGAAATAAAGCCAGCTGCTGACAGTTCACACACAGGGAACATACGGTTAGATGTGAAAAGTAGTTGAGACGTTTTACCTTCAAAGACTGACATGCTGTCAAGTGAAACTGCATGTTTTCATTCTACTTTGTCGTCTGCAGCTCCGAGTCGATCTGCAGACAAAACTATGAAAGTATTACACTGACATTTGTCACCATTGGGCTCTGCACTGTTATGTCCACATGGACTTTAGTTAACGTTAGTTATGTCATCACTTGATCCTGAATCCACGTGTCATGTAAGTATCCATTTTGCATGCTGTCTCAAACACTGGGTCGTCTGCACTGAGGTAGATGAACTAAAGACTCGTCTTTCCCTCTTCCTACCTGTCGTTTTTTCTTTCTTCCCTTTTTGTTCGGGTCGTTGGCTGTGTACCCCAGAAATGTTGCTGCTACTGAAAACGTGGGTAGAAGTTCAGCAGGCAGATCGGAGAAGGAGAGCTGGGAGGGGAAAAGGGAGGCTGCTGTCAGTTGAACCAAAATTGTCAAAAACACACCTGTCCATGTTTGGTTTGTTGCCATGGGTATATGACCATCAGACATCATGTTCATGAGTAATTCTTCAAGATTTCAAATCATGTTGTGCAAATCTTTTCAGATAAGGTTGAAAGGTGTATATAGATGATATACAATAAATTCCTCTTTTTCTTACCTGTGACTGGTGCTCATTCAAAATGTTTTCATTGTCATTTGTTTAAGTTGGAAATATGTGAACTTATCCTTTCCTATCCTCTTAAAGTAACAGGTTTGGTTCTTGTAACCATTCCTCCTGCTTTAAAACACTCCACTTATTTCTAATGCTCGTAACAGCTTATGGAGCCTAGAGCAGAGATGAGGAAACAGTTACACACCAAGATATTTTTTTTATTTTCAAATTAGTCTTCAACCCCAACTGATAAAAATGTATCACATTTTGTGGAGTCACAAAATGCCTTATTTTTTCACATGCAGCATTACTCCCTTAACCTGGAAGTGGAGTGTCAGTGGAGTTCCCCTTTAGATCTCTCCCTAATGCGCTTCCAAAGAAAACCCACAGTCCTTGTTGCCTGCAAAAATATAGGCTAAATATATATATCTGAAGTTAATGAGGCTTCGGCAGTCTGAATGAAGTAAAAGTGGATTTCTTCCAAAGTTAGTCGGTTCAAATGTAGTGTCTGAATTATGTGGACCTTGAGTTCATGTTATATTTACTAAGTCAACCTTCAAGCTCAATGCCAATGCTGCTTGAAGTTTTAAAGAGTTCTAAAAAAAGAAAAATTAGCACATATTTAAAATGCATTTTATTTTCCTTTACAAGAAACAAAAGCAGACAAAGAAATAAGATGAAGGGGAAAGGGAGTGGGAAAGCTGTATATAAAGAGATGCAACCTCTGGCGTCCTGAAAAAAATATGTACAATTCAAAATAATATCCATACAAAACATGCCACATACAATAAAAATGATCATTATATTTATTCATATTCCCTAAAAGTATCTCTGCTGTACAGATGCAACTTCTTTTTAAAAAGTAGGTGAGGTTAAAAAAAACCTTCAATTTGAGCAAACTTTATTAAATTATAAGATATGCAGAGAACTTAAATTAAGATTCAGAGAAGTTAAAAATTATTCAGGCTAAAATCCAGTGAGCGGCATAATGTCTCGTCATGGTCTTCCCTTGAAATAGAAACATACCAAAAAATATATATATCACTGCTCCGGATACTTGATCAATATCTACCACTTTAGAGAAGTTCTCCATTATACTATGAGAGTGCAATTCATTACCAGGTTAAGTATGGGATTAACTTTGAGTATTACATCATAACATACATTAGGCCAAGTAACCATTTCACAAGGTTTACCAACACATTCACTTCTATAGGGAAGATATAAAAAGCAAAAACACTAACAATATTCTAGGGAATTCAAGATTTTCCATTCAAGAGTATATTAATCCAATTGTGACCGATTAAGGGACAGGTTTTGGTAATCAACAAGCAGTAGCATAAATAAAAAGAAAAATAAACACGAACAATATTACATAAATACAAATGCTATGCACCATTGTACTGCTTTACGCAAGAAGTGATTTTCATGTCTAATTAACGACCCTCCACATGAATCCAAACAGTTTCATAATCACATTGGCTTCTCGTCGCAATTGATTGGAGAAGACCAGACATTTTCTCATACCTATTTTTAACAAACTTGTCTCTGAGAGCTTATAGCAAAAACACTAATAGAAAAACAGGTCAATGCAAAACACTCTGGTTCATATACATAAAGATATTAGTTTGCCATTTTACATATATTTATATTTATATACAGCTTTATCTTTGTTAAAATGATATCCAGTGGTTGGTTTTTTTTTTCAATTTTATTTCTCTACACTTTTCACTTTATTGATTACAAAGGGGCTGGATAAAGAGTTGCTGTCCCCTAATGCATATACTATATATACAGTTTGTACAACTTTGCATTTTTAAAATCATGTGAGGTCTTAGGTTAGGGGAAGGAGGAAACAAAGTAGTATGGGAAGGTGGAGTTTTAGTAAAGCTCCCTTTAAAGACTTTTTCATTCATCTTACATAGAAATGAAAACAAATGCCCTTTTTTCCAATAAGTCTTTCCCTGCCATCAGTTCAGCCTCGAGAGGACAGTACCAGCACTAGAAAAGCACACTACAGGGGAAGTAGAAACACTGCAGGCTGTACTCAGGCAGAGGAAGACTTACTACAGTAAAGTTTAACAACAGTCCACTAAATAATACAGAGAGGAAGAGGCATGATTCAAAGTTTAAGGTTAAGTTGTGAAAAGATCGGGTTGTTCGGGGGAATAAAAAGCATTTCATGGGACAGTAGTCATGCATCCACCGGCTGGTTTTCAACAAGTGGAACTTCAAAATATGAAGCAACAAGCAAATGTGTACTTGGTTAATTTAGGACTCCGCAGTCTTCTTTAAAGACTAAGTGTCCTTGTGATCCTAGAGCCATTCACTCACACCATCATGGTCTTTAAGCAACTTAAAAAGGTGGATGTTATTGTGCTTTCACACAGCTAATAACATGGTTTTGAGACACATAAATAAAGAGAACAAAAAAGAAAAAAGCTACATCAATATCCAGGATGATTTGGTGGCATACAGGACACCCGCTAAGCTTCTGATTGTGATTTTAATGCAATAATCTTATCAAAACTGTCATATATTTCCTCTGTATAAACAATTCATGAATAATAATTATGTTGGCTCATTATTGTAAATCATCATCAGCATAGAGTAGATAGAGCAAACCTGCTGCTTAAGATTCCCTGCTTGTCCGAGAAGGCTAAGCCCATAAAAACATTCCCCCTTTCCCCCCCGTTCCACAGTAGCAGTTAACAGTTTTTATACAAAGCAGTCACTTCCCGCTAAATCAATGAGGTAGACTGGGTCCAACTAACCCACCTTGGGACTCCACACAGTCACAACATCTGGTGCCTCTGGAGCCACAGATCAATAGCATCTCAAATTTTATATTAACTTACATATTTTCTTTTTTTCCATCGATCATATGTAGTTCTTACACAGAGCCACATCAAGATTGTCTAGCTAGCCAAATATCCGTGTTGTCTTCATTGATGACTTGATGGGAAAGTGCCTTTTCTGGGAGGTGAGGGGGGAGGTGTGGTCAGGTAGGACAGGAAATAGGTCCGTCTTAGAACATAAAAATGCATCATCGTTAGTTCATTCTTAGTATTTTAAAATGGCTTTTTGTCGAAGCTCCAGGTGAGCTCTGCACTACGAGTATTGATATCAGAGGGTCAGAATCATTTGGTAGATGTTGAGGATTGTTTTCCAGCCACTGTAAGCTTATTGAGAACAGTCGAGGGGGGAAAGGGTTTTGGCTGAGGAAAGGGTGATTCACTAGTCCAAACATGAAAGTTAGTCCCACCATCAAGCTGCTGTAGACGGAGGTGGTCGGTTGCTTTTATTGATTAATGCTCTTCAAACCTTTGGCTACAGGTGTCAACGCTTTAGTCTTTCAATGACGGAGGCCTGCCTTCCTCCACATCTTTCAGAACAGCTTATGCACTGGCTATGTAGGATTCAAAGGCTTTGGCGCAGGAGTGTTCTGGCACCAGTGAGAGGGGAATTCTCCATTTTTCTTTCTTCCGGTTAGTTCATCCACTTTCGGCAATTCCAGGCTCCACAATGGCAAGGGATCTTGTGCTGATCGTCCTCGAAATCGAACTGGTAGTCGTAGGTCAGCTAGAATTAAGAAACGGGGACAGTTAATGGCTGCTTAGAGTTAAAAATTAACTTCAAAAACAGACAGGGTAGTAAAATAAAGGAGACATGTCTATGCGTGAGTAACTGTTTTCTAATGCACTGCACCTCTTCTCCCTTGGGGATCCTACGGCTGGAAATGATGATAATCTTGTCTTCTTTGTCAAACGTCACAACCTCTGCCACACAGTTGGGAGCACAGGAATGGTTGACGTAGCTGGAAAGGAGAAGAAAAAAAAAAGGTTAAAAAGAAAACAACAAACATACTAGACTCAAAAGGTTTACAAGGCGACAACCAATAACAAATCAACACTTACCGAGCGGGGCCACCTGTCAGAGTGGCATCAATCACCTGCTCATTGTTGATGCGGAACATGTAAATCCCACGGTTCTAAGGTAGAAGAAGAAAACAATTTCTTTTTAATAGACATACATGTTTGGCATGCACTTAAACTGTAACACAACAGAACGCTTTTTGTGTTGCATTTAGTCGGCGTACCTGCAACTCGTAGATCTTCTCACGCCGATTGGCCACCTCGTTGCGTATGACCGTACCGATGTACTCAATGACCATGGTGTGCTTCTCCAGATCCTTAGCGGCGTACAGACCCAGGCCCTGAATGCGGGATCGTGCCAGATACACGTTGTTCTTCCACTCAGTCTTCAGGCGCCGATACTGGGACGACTTGGAGTGGACAAACTGCTTGCTGTATGGTGTGTTGAGCTCTCCAGTGAAGGTACTCTGGTAGGCCTTTGACACGCTGGTGCTATTTAGAGTGTGAGGCCTTGAGACAAACAGAAAAGAAAGGGTTAATGTGTATTCAGTCACTTGGAACATCCATATAGAAATGTTTAAAAAAAGCTGTGCTTTGGGTCTGCGTATTTGTTGACCTGAGCAAGTTAGCAATCACTTCTTTCATCGACTGTAAAGGAATACGTTTGTGAGGTAGAACACAAACTTTAGAATTACTGAAATAATAAGACGAGACATAAAAACAGAATTCTTATTACGCTTTATTATTATATTATTACGCGCCTACCACAACACATTGGGTGTTACTGTAAAGTCCAGCTTCTAGTGGCTTATTGCTAATTGAATGCTGCTTCACCTCTTGCACTGTGTGGGGACCTTTGGCTCAGAGCGAGCACAGCCAGTGGGATTGATCATAAGCGGGAGCTCCATCAGAGGGTGACGGCCATATCGGAACTGGTAGTTCTGGCAGTTCTCCACTCCAGGCAACTAAAACACAACAAAGTCACACAAAATAATGTTAATCATGCACTTTGATCAACACTTGAACCATTAAATCCCAGCAGACTTGGTTCTGTAGCCCACAGGTCTTAACTACCGGGTTCAATTTGGATTCTGGTTAAGCTGTCTGTATACAGTCATGTCTGCTTGCAATGTTTGCTTTATTCAGTAACAGTCAATTAGGAGACTTCATCTTTTTTTTTTGTTTTTCCTCTTTTGCAAGTACTTTAAATCTCTCACTGGTTTGTGCTATTTTTTCACTTATTCTTAAGTTCACTATTACGCAGATGCTAACCTATAGCATATTGAATATTGGCTTGTAAACGGCTCCAATTCTAACAGGGAGACAAAGTGATTCTGTTTCCTGCTGCATATTCTTACCGACTCAGTGATACGCATGACAGCATGAATTGTGAGGCCATACATCTCCTCTCCCTTGACATGTTCTGTGAAAAGCTTCAACATGGATGACTCATCTCGGAGTTTAGCCACCTGCTGAACCACCCGTTCCCAGATCCCTGAAGACAAAGAGCGTGAGTTACATACAATGGTCACGAGAGTTATCTAAAGTGGAAAAGTCAAAACACAGAGATATTATGCAACATAAAGTAGAAGTTCTTACCCTGTGGAGTAGTGTCACGATACTGCAAATCCTCCATCCCATGCTCCAGGACACGCACCTCAAACAGGGGGCGACCATCATCCTCACTGATGCGGCAGCGGTAGCGACAGCGCTTGTTGGGCAGACGCGTGCTCCAGTAGATGCGTGTGGCCTCATAGCCAACGGGGAAAATGGCAGTGGGTGAGTGGAAGTTTGCCATCTGGGAGGGTAGCAACTGGCCAACAGCATGAAAGATGAGACCACCGACACGGAACAGATGGATACGGTCACCTCGCTGTAAGATGCTGGCAATCTGCTTGACCTCATCACGCTCAATGTAGACGCGCCGTAAAACAGCAAACGCGCTGAGCTCATCTTCACTGGGGCCCTTCAGCTTATGCTGGGTGCACAACATGGTCTTGTCCTTGAAGAACATGCAGCGTGCCCGGATGGCACAGGCAAAGTGGTAGACATTCGGGCAGCGCATTCTGTTGCAGCTGTTGGTGGCACCCGTTTTCTGGCAGTACGCGCAAAGAGTCCGCAATCCGCGACGCAGAGCTACCTCCACATTGATCAGGGCGCCCCCCTGAGTCTCATAAACCTCTGTGGACCACAGGGCACAGTTAAGGTGCACCCACAGGTCCACATCAATGTTAAGCAACCTGGCAGGCCCATCGGTGGCTCCGTCACCTTCCTCATGGCAGAAGCAGCATTTACGTTTATCCCGAGGCAGCCGGTCTGGTCGAAGAGTAATGCGCAGGCGTTCCATTAGTTCAGACACCTCACGGCTGCTCTCCTTCTTAGAACCACCCTTACGTATTGAGATCACAATCTGAAGACGCTTCCAGCGAATCCCTTTCCATTTTTTCACTTTGGGATGTTCCACCTCCTCATCAGGGGAGAGGGGCCTGCGCTGCTTGACAGCCTTTGGAGAAGACTCCATGTTGGTGGGAGAATCTTGTGGAGGTTGAGCTGGATCATTAGTCAAGTCCTCCTCCTTGGTAACAGGACTCAGATGGTCTTCAGTAGGAGCAGTAGGAGCTGGAACTGCAGTGGCAGTTGCTGGATCTGTGACTGGATCTGTGACGGGATCTGTGATCGAATCTTTGACGGGATCTGTGACGGGATCTGTGACGGGATCTTTGACGGGATCTTTGACGGGATCTGTGACGGGATCTGTGACGGGATCTGGAGCAGCAACTTCAGACTCCTGGACATCAGTTGGTTGAGCAGCATCAATAGGAGGACCAACATCCTGTTCAGGCTCTATCTTGATCTGGACATTGATGGGACTGGAGGGAGACGGGGATGGAGGAGCTGATTTTTTCAAAGGTTCAGCTTCACAAGTTGTAACTGGGCCAGATGGGGGAGGTTGTGGAGGGGACGGCGATGGGGGTGGAGATTCCTCCACCGGTATACTAGGAAGATGGCGCACATCCAAGTCATTTACATTGGTTGTGTAACAGTGCTGGACCGGTTTGTCCTCTTTTTCTGGGAATTCCTGAAAGGAAAAAAAAAAAAAGCATATTTTAAGAAATATGTAGTACATGACAGCTTATCAAAAACAGATCAATAATTCATACAGTGCTCAAGAGATCTGTAATGTCTGACCTGTTTAATAAGTGCCAGAATGTCCACTTGTTTCTTCAATGTACAGCCTGGTAGAGACACATCAAATTGTCTTAGCCACTCATCCTGGCTGGGTGAAGCACTGTCCTTTGTACACAGAGCCCCTGTAAAAGCATGAGCACCTTCACATTAGTCTGAATTCATGGATTAATAAACTTGAAAGACTTGTAAACAACAGGACAATCCAAATTAACAATAGCCTCTAAATGCATACCTGACTGGCCGGGTCCTTTCCCAGGCCCATCAACTCCAGGCATGTCAGGGTTTTGGGGAGGGAAAGTCACCTGATAAGCACCTGGCATCCTAATATTAAGCAGCTGGGCCATAGCCATCCTGACATGGTTCAGTTTCTGGAAAAAAGTCAGTTCAAGTTTTTGTTAACAATGCATGAAGATGAGGAAAGGTTAAACTGGGTGTATTGATATCATGGCTTCGTACCTCGGCAGAAGACAATGTGAAGGTAACGGACACTTCGTTGCTTTTGGCTTTGTCCCAATGGTTGGATGTGGAAACTACCTTGTTATCGGCTGCTTCAAATGGTTTGTTTTCTGGGAATGCTACAAAAGAAAATGTGAAAATTACCATATTAGCAGTTTGCATTTTCGCTGGCACTTTTAGCAATATAAATGGATTTAATGGTCAAATTAAGACTTGAACAATAAAACCTAAAAACATAATGGACTTTTTGGGATTTCACCAAAACATGTATAAAAAGGTATGAGCAATGTAACTGTTTGAGGTAGTTACATTTTGAATGTTGTATAATATCTGGGATGGCAGTGCGAGGTATGAGAGGGATGATGGGCGATATTGCTCTCTCAGTCTCCTCCTCTTTAGGCTCCCGTAGATGAGGGAAACGTGGTGTTTCATCTCCTACGTTACTCTCGGGGGATGATGCCGGGATGATGCTTTCTGGAGCATCCTCGTCATCACTCTCCATCCTGTTAAGAAGAAGTTCCCTTAAGTTATAGCCAGCAACAAGAAATCCATGTATTTTGGTTGACAAAGAAATTTCCTATTGTACCTGATGTCCTCATTCTGGTTATGTGGCGGGGTGGGGAGAGCTGCTAGAATGTCTACACTCTTCACTTCTGTAACAGAATCTGCAGGGAGAAATTAAAGAGTACTTAGATCCCAATTACTTCACCACTGCAATTAAATAGCATGAAAAACAATAATTTCATCGTCTAATCCCTCATTATTTACCCATTGGCTCTTCTGCTGGCTCTGTGTCTTTTTGACCCTCAGACAGCTCCTCCCCAGGAGTCACTCCATTCAGCAGCTTGTGCTGTACTGAAGGCGGAGGAGTAGGTGGCAGGGAGGATGGGGGTGTTGGTGGGTTGCTGAGGTTACTCTGTAAAAAGGAATACAACAATATCCTCATAAAACAACGTTTTTTCAAGATTTTGTTCTTAAAGAAGCATGGATCAACAACCAAATGTTGGCACAGCCTGCAAAAGCGAACCACTGGTACATGTTGCAGCTTCGTCATACCTTAGTGAGTAGCTGAGAATAGTAGTCTGGGATATTGTCCAGCACCGCATTTCCAAAGGATCCTTTGAGCTGGGCTTTGCCATTGGCTGGACTGCTTCCAAAAGGGGCAAACAGATCTAGACTGGCAGTGATTGAAGGCTCCATGAGGGGCAGCAGAGAGAGACCCTGGAGGATAAATGTCCATTAGTAAAAATGAAGAAGCACTCTTGTAAACATCAATGGCAGAAATCATTTAGGAAATTCATTTTGGCCATCCTTTTACCTGTTTGAGTTGCTTTATCAGGGCTTCGGCACTTTTTCCAACTTCTTCCTTCTTGTTCTTCTTCCGTGCATTAGGCCCTCGGTCCCCAGTTGCCTTATTAGTGCGTTTTGGCTTTTGTACAGGAGCCCTTTTTGTTATAGACTGTAAATCCTGTAAGAGTTGAGAAAATGAATGAGATGTTCTTTCCACACAAACAACATGAGGGCAAAAAAAAAAAATCAAAAGCACTAAAGACAAACATACCTCCATATTTCGTGGAGTCCCTTGAAGTTTTTGCTCCAACATAGCTAGTTTGGTGTTGATGTGGCCATTGATTTCATTGTGGATACCTTCAGAAGGTCTCTGAGCACCAAGTTGAAGGTTCTTGGTCCTCAGGAGTTTCTGTAATAGTTGCTGTCCAGTCTCAGATCTAGGGCCTTGAGTCCCAGGGTCTCCAGCCACGCTTCCAGCATTAATAAAGCTAGTGTTGTTCCCGGAAGTAACCATCTCTCCCGTTGCTTCTCGCTTCACAGCACCAGGATGAGGCTCTGTTGCACCATCACACTGAACCTCTCTTGGTTCCTGTTTAATGTTCTGTAGGGTTATCTTACATAGCTCCCCTACTCTAGAGCTATGTTGTGTGTGAGGAGCATGGCTCTCTGTGACCTGCTGCGACTGTTGTTGAACATTCATGCCTTTCTGTGGACCATTGGGGGTGACTGAGGCTGTCTGACATGTTTCATTGCCTGATGTCTGAGTTTCTATTTTCAGTCCTGGACAATCAAGTGGACTCCTGGCTCCAGGTGACCTGAGTGGAGATGCCCTGACTTGGCTGTACGGACTCCCCCTTCCAGCCCTGTCAGCTATAGAAGGTGAGGAGACATGGGATGAATGGGGTGAGGCCGGGTGGGCTGGGCTCATGCCAAAGGGGCCTCTTGGAGAATACGCATGGGATGGAGAGCCCTGCATGCGGCCTGCTGCAGCCACCATTAGTGCTTGTTGGTTCTGGTTGGGAGTGGGTGGACGCATCCCCATTGCTTGATTAAATGTGTGCCGTTGTGCATCACCAGGAGAGTTGGGTAATGGCTGACGTGGAGATGTTGGTCTTACCATACGGCCATGGTCCATAGGGGAAGGTGGCACTGGTACCTGTCCTCTCATAATATGTTGCATCATCTCCCCTGGTGGTGGCTGTTGCTGCCCAGGGACCATCATCCCCTGCTGTATCTGAGGAGCAACACCAGGTTGGTGGCCCAACATGCCTGACTGTTGCTGAGTGCCCACTGCTCCTGGCTTCCCCATGGCTCCATATGGCATCTGTTGGCCTTCCATTCCTGGCATCTGCTGCCCAACCTGTGGCACCTGTCCTGGTGGCATGTGAGATCTTAACTGACCTTGCTGGCCTTGACTCATTGACATCCGCAGCATCTGTCCCTGTTGGAGCTGCCTCTGGGCAATCATGGCCTGGATGTGCTGTATCTGCTGGTTTGGGGGGAGATTGCGCAGCTGAGGATTCTGAGCAATAATAGCCTGGATGTTGATAGGGGTGCGGATCTGTCCTTGTGGAAGTGCAGGCCTTTGTGCCATCATCCCTTGCTGCTGGACCCTCATCATGCCCATCATGGCCTGTTTTTGCTGCTGGGCCATGAGAGCTTGCTGTTGTGGACTATGTCCCATCACAACAGGCTGTGGTTGGCCGGGATGGTTCTGGCCTATGATTTGCTGCTGGATGCTGGGATCTTGTGACTGCTGCATGGCATTTTGAACTGTTTGCTGTTGTTGCTGTTGAGCCAAGAAATCAATTGGTTTTCCTTCCTCTTTAATAGTCATCAGACCTGGCTTGTCAGCACCGAGGGAAATTTGCCTCTGGAGAGTGAGTGGAATTTGTTGCTGCTGTTGCTGAAGCACACCAGACTGTTGGTTTCCAATCATACCTGTCTGTTGCTCAGATACAGACTGAGGATTTGACTGTTGCTGCTGCTGCATATAAACCTGGTTTTGATGCTGCTGCTGCTGCTGCTGCTGTAATTGCTGCCTCCCCAAGTCAGTTTGATGATCATTTCCAGAGCCTAGTTGGGTCATCTGATTAGGAGTGGAGGGTCCACTCTGCTGTGGTGGCGTTCTCGAAACAGGGCTGAGGATCCCACCCTCTTTGGGGCCTGAGTTTTGGCTGTCTGTAGCTCCCTGTGGCTGGGGCGTGATACTTCCTGCTGAAGGGGAGGAGCCCATCTGTGGGGTAGAGGGTTGAGAGAGCCCTCCTTGCTCTTGGCTGGATTGACTGATCATCTGTGTAGGCTGTCTTTGCTGTACCATCTGCTGCTGCTGCTGCTGCTGAAGGTGAGCCAAATTCTTTGCAACATTCTGCTGCTGCTGCTGAGATGCAAGCATGCGTTGGGCCAGAATGTTCTGTTGTTGGGGAGTCAATTGGACCTGGGGACCCCTAAGGCCAGGGTGACCTGGAGATCCAACCATACCCTGCTGACCCATCATCAGCTGAGGCCGCTGTGGTGGTGGAACTGGCTGGTTGCCCATGATTCCAGTTTGAGCTGCCATCATGGCTTGAGCATGGTTAATAGGCTGGCCTCCTGCAAGGTTCTGGGGCAGCGGAGCCACAGACTGGCCTCCAACCATTCCTTGTGGAACCTGCACCATGGTCTGCTGATTGGGCTGCATTCCCTGTTGAGTGTTTGCTTGGTTGGCGAGCATTCCCTGTTGAGTGTTTGCTTGTTGTTGGGCCATTAGTGGGTTCCCCATCATACTGGCCTGATTTGGGTGTGGCATTGGTTGCTGGCCCATCATCACTTGTTGCTGCTGTTGCTGTTGCTGGAGCTTTGCCATCTGCATCCTATGCTGAAGCTGTCTTTCTTGGAGAAGCCGTGGGTCTGCACCTTGCATTCCAGGCCCTTGTGGGAAGAATCCTGTTGGAGCCCCAGGAGGACCTGGAGGCCTTACTACATTGGCTCCAAGTGTTGCAGGGAGCTGGGGTTGGGCTCCACCAATGAAGGGCTGGCCTTGGGGCATCCTGACAGGCATTCCAGCTTGGGGCATCATGCCAGGGTGCTGGCCCATTACTGGTGTTCCCTGCTGGCCCATCACCATCTGGCCAGGCATCTTGGGAAACATGTGAGGGGGCCCCCCCTGGGCAGAATGACCTGGGGTAAGAAGACCTGAGCCTTGCTGATGCTGCTGCTGCTTGCTTCTGTACTCTGCAATAAGATTGGTGTGCTCCTTTTGCTGCTTGCGTACCTAGAGGAGAATAATTATAAACAGATATTTATTTGCATATCAAAATGCCAAGTGCCATAAATGTAGAAAAGTTTGTAAACCTGATATCTACACACCTGGTCAAGCTGTTTCTGAATTTTGCTCTGCTCTTCTGTAACCAACTTTAGTTTCTCTGCATCGGCTTCAGCAAATTCCCTGCCAGCTTTTTTAGCAGTGCGCTGCTTAGCACACAGTGCCTTGCGTGATTTGCGGTGAACTCCAATCTGTTCCTCCAAGAATTTCAACTGCATTTGGAGTAACTGCTGGGTGTGAAGAAGCCATTCTTCATATTGGTGCTGTTCTGCATCGTCTGTAACAAAAGAGATAACTTAATACATCCTTAAAAAGAGAATGGGGTCAACAGTATTACATCTTTTCAAATGACATAATACATTTGTAACAAAACACAGTATTGGTTGAACATACTGATGATTCCTTGCACAAACTGGGGAGGGTTGGGTCTTGACTGGGTGGGATCACTGGTTTCTCCCTCCTAAACACAAAAAGAAAGCATTTATATGAATCAGTTACAGCAGAGAAGACTTGAAATTAAATACAAAAACATTCTGACAAGCAATACAGCATACCTTTGGTGGTCCAGATGTAAGTTGACCTGGATCTGTGCCTGGAGCAGAGGCCAGCCTCTGAGCAAGCAGAGAAACTTGTTGCCTGAAGAGAAAGTACAACATAAAACATATAACTATACCTGTAGTGTATTAAGCAATGGTCTGTAGGGGTTGTGTAGTTTCCAAACCACTGTGCATAAAAGTTGTAAATTACCGTGGTGTTACCACCACCTGATGGGTTTCTGGTGATGATATCTGATATTAGACAGTTAAACTGTGGCACTGCTGCATACTAGGTCACTCCCTTAGGAGAGGGAGTAGAACAGTCTTGAGAAAACAACAGTGTATGCACCTCAATATCTGCCTCAGTAGACTGTTGTGCCAGTACCAGTGCATACCCTATAGAAGATGTTTTTAGTAGCTATAGGAACAAATCTAACACCTAATCTTCAACTTGACCTGGCTATAATGAATCACCATTGTCAGTAGCTTTTAGCAGACTACTGGTGACTGAGTGGGCTGTTGTCAGCTTAGCCATGATACACAGTAGATTCTTTGTTCACAGCCAAGACCACAGAGTCAATCATAATATAACTGTCACAAATAAGTGACTGCTGGGTTATTAAAACAGTGCTTGTATGGGCCTTGTTTTGTATTGATCTGAACATAACAGCTTGAACCAGCAAAAGACTGAACTGACTACCTTTTTTTTTTTTTGGTCCACTAGCCAAATGGTTAGTGATTGGTCATATTTTGCCATCCATTCAATCGATTACCATTGGGGTCTTTTTTGGCTAGTGAGAAAGAAAATTTACCAGCATTTGGCTGGTAATGGTGCTAATTTTGTGACCTGCATACTACTAAACAGAATCAGCATTAAACATCTTGGCAGTATGAGGAATAGCGCAGAGGAGAAAATAAAAAATGAGTGTCCAGCAGGAAAGCTTAGCAGTACATCCGCTCAATCTGGCAGTACATGTAAAATACAGGGTACAGTGTGTAAGTTAATAAATGATACAGCTTCTCAAGGCCCAGGAAAGTCTACGAGACAGAGACTACAGTCTGGAAGTTAAGTACGAAAGGCAGTAAGTTTTATGGCTATTATGTAATGTTGACTTAATTGCATGTCATTAAGACCTACATATGCTAACTGTTCTTTTGTTATGTCAATGTAATTGAGCAGTGATTATTCTCGCTACTCCTAATATTAGCTTCCAAACAGGTCATTCTCACATCCTAACAGTTGGAAAAAACACAGCCGAACCTCCTAAAACTAGATAATAAGGTAATGAGTGACTGACAGTTACCATCAAGCCCAGAAAAATCAAATGCTTGCAGGTAGGATATAGTGACTGAGTTTTACCTTGAGAAGCCACTGTTCAGTTTTGTTACTGTTCACTTATTTTCAATAAATGGTTAAAGTCATTTTCTGTGTTTGGGCATTTCATTTTTGATATTAATGTCTACAGATACATGCCAAAAGCTGCTAATTAAGACACATTAAGATTAATTAAGATGATTAAGATAATGATGATGTGTCTACAGATGAAGGTTTTTATATAGCTATTAAAACGAACAAAAAAAAAATATAAAAAATAAAAAGTACCTGTTAATGCCAGGGGGAACAACCATTGGATCCTGGGCCAACACTTTCTTGATGCCCTTGAGTGCCACCATCTTTGCCTTGGCAATGGGATCCATGATGTCATCAGTTGCAAATTTGTCTAAATCTGCAATAAAAGGAATAAGGCATAACATGCTTATATAGTATGAAAAGAACATTACATGGAGTAACGACATTGACATTCCAAAGTGCTTACCTTTATCTGGGAAGAAATTGTTGGCCAGAGGTGACTGTTTGACCACCGGTTGCGGTTGTTGTGGATGACTGAGACCTGGCTGCCCCATCCTCATCATGGCCTGCTGCTGGGCCATGGCCATGTGAGGTGGCATTCCAGTTCCCATAAGCCTTTGCTGCTGCTGCTGCTGCTGTTGTAACATGTGTGGAGGACGGGGTACCATCCCAGGCTGAGCCATCATTCCTTGGGGTGGCGGACGATGATGGTGTGGCAGCATTATCTGCCCAGGCGCCTGTGGGGTCGGCTGTTGACTTGAGAGGCCAGGAAAATGAGGCGGCATGCCTCCCGGGTGGAGGGAACTGAGCTGTTGCTGCTGTTGCTGCTTTTGTTGTTCCTTCTTCTCATGCTCCAGCAGATCCTGTATTAAAAGAGGGAGTTCCCCATCTAAAGAGCTCTCTACCTTTGCCAAATCTACAGCAGGGGAGTGCTGCCCCCCTACATCAGGCAGCCCCAGTGGATCATCACCAATATCTGCGTGTGCAGAAGTTGGGGGAAAAGGCAATGGATCAGCTTGGCCTGGCAGTGGGTAAGGAAGTCCTCCTAATCGAACAGAACTTAGTGAAGCTGACTGGTTTTCTGGTTGTGCCACCTTGGCTGACGGTGTGGTCCCACCAAGAAGCATTGACACAGCCTCTCCTATTTCATCTTTCACCACAGTCTGTCCTGGCTGCAGCTGAGGGGTCAGACCCCTGTCCTCCACTTTGACCTTGGAGATATCGGCAGCTTCTGCAGAGGGTGGCAGTTGGTTAGCAGACCCCCCTGCAGTTCCAGGGGTTGTTGACTTCTGCCCTGGCTCCACCTTGGTTTCCACTTTAACAAGCACTGATCCAGAGGAAGATGAAGGTGCTTCACTTTCTGCCTCCACCAACCGCAGCTGGTCTGAGAAGACATCTTTAGGGTCTCCTTGGTCAAGTTCCGGGTCAGTGTAAGCCAGCAGGTCAAACTCATCACTGTTAAGCAAGTCATCTAAATGTGGATCATTGGTTTCAAGGTTGTCCAGATTGCCCAAGTCATCATCTCCTTTGTCAGGATCCAAGTCTAAAGCCAAATCATCCTCATCCTCGACACCTCCATCCCCTGGGGCATCCCCAAGCCCCTCAAGGTCAGGCTCTGGTAGTTCTTCGTTGTTTTCTACAGTGGCAGGCTGTGGCCCTGCGACTACGTTTCGTTGTTGAAGTTGAAGTTGATGCTGCTCAGTGCTAGGAATGTTTGGACTGGAAGTAGCTGCCTGGGTCTGCAGGTGGGGCTGTTGCGTTACTGGGCCAGTAGACTGCTGAGGCAGTAAAACTGACAGTCCGCCCTGCTGTAACCCCAGCTGCGAGTCGCTGCTCCCATCTGTTTGAATACCACCAGCTTGAGCAATGGGATGTTGCTGAACATAAGGTGCTGCCATCTCTTGCTGTGGGATAAAGAGACGTGTCCTGGGCTGGGGACCACGGGGCATAAACTGGGGTCGCATGGGTAGCCTCTGTGAGTTGTGTCTCAATTCAATAAACTGAGGTGGGGGTCCTTGACCCATTGGCTGCATGGTTTCTCCTCCATGTCCTGGTATCATGGTGTGAGGATTCCCCATTCCTTCCATACCCTGAATGTTGACAGCAGGGTTGAGATTGTGCCTTATGCCCATAGCCTCCATGCCAGGCTGGGGGAACCTCCTTGGACCTGGAGCCTGGCCCTGCCACTGAGGAGGGAATGGTGGACGGGCAAACATGCCCTGAGGTCTGGTGGGCCCTGGTTGCCTGAAGGATAGAGACACACACAAAAAATATATATATTTCAATTGAAACAATGTTTGTTGTACTACCAAATTTTGAAGATATAAGGGGTGGGACTAATTTAGGGTGCCAATTATTTCTGTGACCAATGTGTGCACCTGGGCTCATTCCCAAATCAGCTCCAATAATATTACAATTGCAAAATGTTTTATTTTTCCATATGTATGCAGCTAGAGACAACAACCAAAATGACTAATGCTGAAATTTCTTGTGTTAGCACTATTGAAACTGCGGTAAATTTGTAATTGTGGAACGGGAATCAAGTCTTGTTATTTCACACCAAATGTGAATCTACTTCAATGAGGTACTTACCTTAGTGCACTAGGATCCATGATGGCAGGGGTTCCTGTAGGTGGTGGGCGAATGAGCTTGTCCTCCATGCCTCCAACAGCCATGGGCATCTTGCCTGCCACAGAAGCCTGGGCTCCAGCAGTAGTTACAGCAACACGATCCTAAAGAGAGCAATAATAGCAAAAAGAGGTAAATGTAATATTCCCTTAATTTCTAATAAATTGTAAATGGTTGAATTTATACAAAGCGTCCATCCAAAACTCTACAATTCTTCAATCAATCATTCACACACACAAACAAGGCAGCTACCATGCAAGGCTTTTCTGACCATGAGGAGCAATTTCGGATTCAATGTCTTGCCCAAGGACACTTCAGCGTGTGGACGGGAGGAGCTGGGAACCACCAAACCTGCTGTGCCACAGCCGCTCTTGCTCACTTTGTGATTTAGATTGCACCAGTCAACAGAGAGACCAAAGTACAGCCTCGTCTATAAAATCGTGCATCTGTAACAGTATTTCATTTTTTTTTATCAACAACTCTTCAGCAGAGCAGGTACGTGCTGGGATTGTATCCAAAGGCATCGTTCTAATTTCTAAATCACACTGTTGTCAAGATTTTACATTTGTAAGATTTGTGGCATATTGCTCAAGGTGTGTGTGTACCTGTGGATAAGGTGGTGGAGCTCTGTGGGCCTTGTCTTGTTGAAAGGTTCCCATCTCTCCTCCAGACCAGCCAGGGGATGCACTGCCAGCAGCAGCAGCAGCCTCCTTCTCTTGTCTAATGGAATTTCTCTGCATTTGTTGTCTGATTAAGAATTCCCTCAGTTTCTGGCGCTAAAAAACACAACAAGCAAAACCATTAGCAAAACAACTAGGAGGTGCATAAAATTACTGTTCACTAGCTGATACTTTTTATACCTGTCGGTGCTTCTCCAGCTCAGAGGGGCTAAGCCCTACTAATGCGGGGTCCTGCACTGCTGAAATGTCAGGCATTTCTTGAGCACTTGGTAAAGCTGGCTGATGAGGTCCATCGGGAGGGCGGACAGCGGATAGTTCTTGAGATCCAGAAGGAGGTGGCACTCTGGAACCGAAGCCGTCTGCTCCCATAGTCTGCTGAGTTTGTGGCTGTGGTTGCTGAAGCTGACCCTGTAACATCTGACTCTGCTGTTGGGTTATTTGGAAGCCTCCCGTGCTTGGGCTACGGCAAAAATTAGGAGGTGCTGACGGTTTACCAGAGAGAGGATCCCCTGCTGAACTGTTGGTGGGATGGGGTGGAGGTGGCTGGTTAGGATGAGGTGAGCCTTTGTAACTTGCAGTTCCCTCTGGGGCGACAGAGGAGGGGCGAGGAGGTTTGTGGATAGTAGCAAAAGGGTCTCTAGATTGTGGCCTTGAAGGTGGCTGAGAACAAGGGTCTGGGGATTGGAAACGAGGGGTAGCAGGAGACTGGACAGAGTAAGCATCATTCGAGAGGCCACCAGGAGTGTGGGGAGAGCTGCCCTGGGACTGTGGGCTGGAGGGAACTCTTGGGCATAGTTCCTGTTGACCTACAGGGTGCCTCTGAGGTCCAAGAGAACAATTGTCGCCTGACTGCGGTCTTGGAGTTAGCGGTTGCTGAGTGTGGGGGTCAGAGAAAGGGTGGGAGGGAGACTGCCTGTAGCCTTCTGAAGGGTGGCCAGGAGAAGCTCCAGGATGAAGTGTTCCACCCTCCCCTTGGTGCATTCTTGGCGTCATAGGTGCCTTGAATAAACCATCACCAGTCTCCAGCATTCCAGCAGGGGAGCCAGTGGATAGGTCAGGTCTTCCAACTGCAGAGGAGCGCGGAGAAGGTGCACTCATATCAGCCCTGTACTGCCCTGTGCTTGCAGGTGAGGAAGCGACTGCAGAGGGTGATGGGGATGAACCATATTCTAGCCGTCCCATCCCTTGCTGGTTTCTGAAAGGGTCGCCATAGTGGGTATTGTGGGGTGGTGAGAAGATGGGTGACTCCCCAAGCCCAGCACCTCTTGAGTGAGGACTTTCTGGATGTCCTAGGGACTCCTGAGAGCCTTGCTGTGATTGTGGTAGATGACCCTGTTGCTGCTGCAGCTGTGATCTGAAGTAGGGGTCAACCTGCTGAGCCCGTCTGGGGGTTCCAGGAGTTCCTGGTTGCATGTCAAAGGGGCCTAGACTGGCTGGCCGTCCCTGAGGAGGACCCTGTGGGCCGGAAGCGGAATAACCTGAGGAAGAGGCCTGCAAGGGGCTGGCCCCAGTGTGGGAGAAGGGTGTAGTTGGATGGGAGTGAGAATGGGGTGACTGAGGAGGAAACTTGGCCAAGGGATCTGTCCGGATTTCAGCTGACCCTGGGGTCTTAACAGGTCCGTCTGAGAAAAAGACAGAGGATGATCCTGAATCTGGTGGGAAGGGAAAGGGGCTTTCTGCAGAGCTGGGCTGGGAAGAGATAGACGTAGAGCCTGAAGGTGGAGGGATCTGGAGGTGTAAACTGGGCCGCTCTCCCTTCACACGCCCTGGCTCTGTCTTGATTGGCCTGCACACTTGACTCTCTGCCTGCTGTGAGAAGAGGAGGAAACATTTACAATCTGCAACAAGACTCAAATGAAACATACACAACCTTTGTTCACCTTCACAATACAAAAGGATGCCTATGCTTAAACTCACCTTCTGTGCCTTGTTGATCCTCTGAGCTGCTCGGTTATCTTTGGCCTTTTGCTACAGAAAGAAATATTAAAGGAAATAATTAAACACACTTTCCTATATTTCTGTCTTTGGTAATTCTTTCCATATGGTCATATGATTAAACATTCAATAACAAGAATCAGGGTATCATTGACTACATTTTAGAAACTGCAGGAAGATTGTTACGTCTATATAAATTTATATTTATTTAAAAAATAAAACAGAACATACCAGATATGGAACCTTGTCAGCAGCTGACACCTTCCTCCAGATCTTCATGATTTGCTTACAGCGACTAGCCCAGTCTGTAAAAAGAGAAATGTTTGACAATATCAATATCTAAAAGTAATATAAACCTTAGTTTAACAAAGACTGATTATACAATGTTTGTATAATGTTGTCTAATAGGCTGTACATTCTGGTATACTATTTCTTCCACACTCACCAGGGTAGTCCTGTTTGAGTTTGGGAAAGTTGGTATTGGCATAAAGAACTGGGGAAATGGTTGACAGTTCTCCCAGCTCCTCATCTTTCTCCCAGCGCTGGAGACTACGCTGGTTGTAGGACAGCCCATCACCTTCTGCCTCAGTGGGGGTTGGTGGGGAGGAGGGGGTTGCTGGGGTAGAGGGAGTGGCCCCGGGGCTCTCCTCACCCCCATCTGGACTGAACAGTCCTCCTCGGTCCCTGCACATCAAATGAGAGTGTTGTCTTAAATAAAGGGCGTGTGTCAACAACAGCAATAAAAGTCTATTTTAAATTGGACAAAACAAAATGACATCTGCTTTTACATTGTGATTTTCCACACATGATAGATTGTTGGAAAATAAAACGCATTAGGTAATTCAATATTGGACCTACCGCATGTCAAAGAACGGTGACTGAGAGAGGCCGGGAAAGGCGTCCATCATTCCAGCTGAGGGCAGGGACCCTGCAAGACATTTGTTATGCATGTCCTCAATCGTACAACAAATATGGTTCTGAACTTCAAAAAGGTTTTAATGATATCATGAGTTCATCTGCAGGCACCCCCTGTACACACCTGAGAGGAGAGCTCTCTGTGGCAGAGTGCTACGATTGAGTTCTCCCTTACTGCCCTCCAAGATGGGCTTCATGCCGCCCAAAGACGAGCCATCTGACACTCCCAGAACCTTCCTGAAGAACTGCTCGGAGTCCTGACTCTCCACCCCTTGTGGAAGACCTGTCATTACAGAAAAACATTATGTAAGGCATGATGTTAACATTAGATATTAGATATTTCCTGAAGTTAATGTTGCATACTGTAGATACCAAAGTATCCTCTCAAGGAAGTACCTTCACTTTTTTCTGCATCAGAGTCATGAGGATCAGTTGATGCCTGGTCCTTCAGCGATGAGGATGGTGCAGAAACTCCTTAAATGTGTAATTTTAAACAAACAATTAACTTAAGACCATAACAATAAACCAGTAGTATCAGTGTCCAAACAGGCACTTACCTGCACCTTCTCCCTGAGCCTGGGGGGCCTCACTGCCCTCTTGCTTGAGAGGAAAATCATCTTTCACCACACGATCCTTGGCCTCAGCTAGTGAAAAAAGCAAAAAGGTCACACACTGTGTACTGACCTTTTTCACATCCAGTGTCACAAATAATTTTCATGTGTCACAGGTTAAGTTAGTGTTCTTACTCTCTGGGGCAGTAGTTTTAAGTCCTGATGGTGCTGGTAATGAAGGTCGGACAAGGCATGCGCCTGGCCTCTGCCCTGGTGGTATCATCACAGCTTTCTTACTCAAGTCTATTAGTGTCTTCCCAAAGAAAGCCTCCTGCAAAGAATTACAAACATTTAGTGTATGAGTATCATTCATATATATCATTGGATATCTCGGACATAGAGAGACTACAAACCTGAAGATAAGTTGGAAACATGTCCTCAAGTTTGCTCTTCTTCCGGCCCCGACGTTTCTTGGCCTGTTCTTCGCCCTCCACTGGTTTAGGATCCATTATGTTATCTGTGTCAGGGTGGGGTCCTACACATATATGTAATCATGAAATTTGATTTCCAAAACTTACCATATTCACAAAACACAACTGCGCTTACACCGCCACTAGTAATGGAAGGATGATAATAATGGAAGGGTGTTCAGACCAAAAACAGTCACGTTAAAAAAACGTTAGTAGTCTCACTGAGTCGATGTAATGGCCTTATTCAAAAGAATGAGGAGTCTCAATCTGATATTTAAAAAATGTCTTTAGTAAAGAGCTGAATGCCCACACCATTTGTAAGTATTTCTTTCTGAGACCAAATTCATGATAATTATGTCATTATTTTATTATAAATATTAGATAGATTATTTATCCCCGAAGGGAAATTA